GGAAAAATAAGCTTCAATTGGGTTTAGGCCATTATACATATTGGGGCTCTATTTGTTATAGCACTTAGCCTGTCCCACCTATTACAGAAACTCTATAATGTTGAGAAATTAGAAATGAAAATAAAGATAATTAAACCATTTCATGTATTTTTAATAAGACTATTTTTAAATAAGCCCCAAGCTTTAATAGAGCCTAGGAACATGATGGGCTTCTAAGTCCCATGGTCCAAGATGGTGTGAAGAAGTGTAGGAAAAATACCAGCCCCCATACACTTTTTGGTGACACACTGCATAGAACAGATGCAAAACTCTTCTAAACACATCCTTGTCTCCCACTGAGGAGCTGAGACCCAGACTCTCATGACACATCCAGACACAGATGTTTCTGCTCCTCTCCAGAGCCCACCTTGCTGGAGACAGGCTCCTCTCACTGCATCACATGGCCAAAAAAAGAGATGCTGCACAGACAAATGCTATTCAGCCTTTGGAATAAAGTTGCCATTAGAATTCCAAAATATGATTAACATTATTCCCATGACGGGTCTATTGAACCAGTGCTTAATCCAGACTCTCTTAAACCATTGTTCTACAAAAGTAGAAATAAAGTTTATTTAAGGTGATTATTTTTATGTGAATTTTGAAAATTTTTTTAAACAAAATGGATTCACTGTTATTGCTGTTGCTGCTTTTTTTATTATTATTATCATAAAAAGCCAATATATGTTTATTTTAGAAAATACAAATGAGCAAAAATAATAAACCGTCATGATATCAGTAATTCAAAATAACCCCATTTAACTTTCCAGGACCTTTTCTATGCACCCACATGCTTTAGTTTTATAAAAATGCAGTCATTCTTTACATTCTGATTGTAATCAGCTTTTTGTAAAAGTTAACTGAAATCTTCCCCATCACAATGTATCCATATTACAATATCATTGTTAAAAGATGAAAAGAGTTGATGTGTATGATTATACCCTCATATAATCAACCTAATAGACATTTATGCAGCTTCCAATTTATTTTGCTTTTCAAATATATTTTAATAGACATTCTTAAATATTTCCTAGAAGTGGAATTCCTTAAAGACTACCAATTTATATACACAACAGCAAAGTTTCCATTCATTCTTTTAACAAATGAGAACCGACTTTTATGCCAGGCACTATTCTGGACACTTGGGAGTCAACAATTAAAAAAAAAAAAAAAAAGACAGAAACCCTCTCTTATGGTGCTTAGATGGTAGTACATGAGAGGATCCATTTCCTTGAACTCATAAAAGTTAGGACTTTTAAAAAATCTTTGCTACTTTTGTAGGGGAAAAAAAGTAGTTATTTTAATATTTTATTGCTAATATTGATTATTTTTATAACTGCTTACTGGTTATTTGTATTTAATGATCACATTTTTTTCTTTGATTGCATATGCCAACCTACACCTGTGCATGCTAGTGTAAGGAAATAATTTCCTTGGGAGAGAAGAGTTCTTTACAAGTTGTACATCTAGTTATAAATATTAGGTATGGTAATTTAGACCTTTTAATTTCAAAGTTGACATTTAAAACAAATAATCTACAAATTTTCTTTTTAAAAATTCACCAGATTAAATGATCTAAGATATAAAGATTGAATATAAACCATAGTGAAAAGAACCACTCTAATTCCTGATATTATTTTTTAATTGTGTGTGTGCACTTAAAAGAGCTGACATTTTGAAGTTAGAAATCTTTTAATTAGGAATACCAATTAACCTCTTACAAACACTGCTTCACCTACAGAACAAGCAATCTTAAAATCACAACTGCATTTTAATTTTAGTTATAATTTATCATTTCTATCTTCCTTGAATAGAAAGGCACTGGGATAAAATAATTCTCTAGAAAATAGTCTTCCCAGAGCTATGTCTACTAGACTCAAAAAATGCCATCTAGATATTTGAAATTTAGAAGAACTTGTTTTGCAAATGATGGTGATAACACTTCCTTTTTCCATCCACGTAGCTCTTGTTAGTCACTAATCAGCAGTGGAGGCATGAAGGACTGTTCTGAGAGTGTTGGTTTGCTCAGGGTGATGATCTCTCTTCCAGTTCTGCATCCAGATCTTCAGTTTCACCAGCAACCCCACAAGTCCTGCTGGGGGTCTGTAACAGGGATGGTAGGGCAAGAGAGAGACTGCTGTGATTAGACATTTCCTGTCTTCTCTGATGTTGTCTCTAAACAAGCTAATGAATTTAACGTGCCTAACAATGCACTGCAAGGCACACTGGAGGCACTCAAAAATACTACTTGCCTTTCCTATGCCTTAATGCTAGTTCACATGCATTGTGTGCTTCCTGTGTGCCAGGAATAAGATAAGTATTTAAAATCTCATTGAAATCCTCTGAGGTGGTGCTATTATTTTGCCCATTTTACACACAGAAAATGAACCCTTGGAGAGGTCACATAATTTGTCTAAGATTATCTAGTTAATAAATGCAGTAACTAAGAATTCTGAAACACGACTCTTTTGCCTCTGACGTGCTTTGGTAGGCTGCATCTTTGTATAATCCTACAGAAAAGACTGAAAATCTAGACCCTTTTCCTCTCAGTAACATGCAGCTACCTTGATTTTCCTAAACCTCTGTATCTCTCGATACCCACAGTACGGGCACCCAGAGGTCTTCCTGGCTGCCCGAGATAACCGTGGGAGGGATTGCATCTTGATACTAAAATGAAAACAACCTGTAAGAAAAACCTGAGGTGGCAATTTAGTTTAAAAGCTGGATCACAAAGGTCCTTCACTGGTGTTAAGAACTGAGTTGTGTTTCCATCCAAGCAAATTCATATGTTGAAGTCCTAAGTCCCAGTAACCTCAGAATGTGACTGTATTTGGAGATAAGGCCTTTAAAGAGGTAATTAAGGTAAAATAAGGTCATATGGGTGGGCCCTAATCCAATCTGACTGGTGTCCTTATAAGAAGAGGAGATTAGGGCACAGACACACAGAGGAAAGAACATGTGAAGACACAGGAAGAAGACGGCCATCTATAAGCCCAGGAGAGAGGCCTTCAGAAGGAATCAATCATGCAAATACCTTGATCTTGGACTTCTAGCCTCTAGAATCGTGAGAAAATAAATTTCTGTTGTTTAAGCCATCCAGTCTGTGGTTCTTTGTTGTGGCAGCCATAGCAAACTAGTACAACTGAAGTTGGATAATTACTAGTGTCTGAAATTAAGAGCTTTCCTGATTATTCAAAGTTCCCTTTTAAAAATCAGAAATCTAGCCCAGAAAAACAAGCAGAAATACTTATAGATCAAATCTAGTAAGAAGTATTTCAAGTGATTTCACAAATTATTTTATCATACCAGAATTTTATTGCCCCAAAAGGAGCTTGACCGAGAGGATCAGTGATTGGGGCCTTAACATCTTATGTTATTCAGCTTAGCTTGACGATGCTTGTGGTGACAGTATTTGATCTGAGGGCAAATAGGAGATGCTTTCTGGATTTCTTCACAAAGCTACTTGAATATAGTTACTGTGGAAAGAATAAACTTTTGCAGATTCTCCCTAAATTTGCTGTGGATGGACAAATGCAGTAGTCCCTGAGAAATGATGGCAATGACTGATGTTAAAGTCAGAAAAAAAATATGTGCATGACTAACAGAAAGAGAAATCTCAACAGAGAGAGACAAAAAACGAAGAACGAAGTAAACCTTAACCAAAGACATTAAAAGGGATTGTCTCTAACAAAAGTCCCTTTGACTTTCAATTCAAAAAATATTTTTATAGTGCATGCCTGGTATTATGGGGAAAATTAGTATTTAGAAATTAACCCTGACTCTGACCTCAAGTACTTCTTCATATGATATGAGAAAAAAGACACAGACACAAATAGCCTTAATTTCATGTAGTCTTTGATAAAATCTGTAATGGAAATAAAAAATGTAATGAAATCACAGATGACAGAGATGGTCATTCTGGCTGGGGCATTGGACAAGACCACCGGGGGAGATGTTTGTGTTGGGTCTGAAGGTTGTGTAGCATTTACACAGATGAGGTTGCAGAGGGCAGAGATTTCTAGGCAGGCGGATTAGCACAAGGAAAAACAGATGTTATTGAGTGCAAATCATGTTCAGCAAAAAAGTAAGAATCTGATCTGTTTTCATGAGGGGAATCGTTGAAAGAATGGGACCACTGACCCTGCAGTTGGAGTTAAAGGACTTGGGTTTGAGTCTTGTGTTCCCCATTTTCTAGATTTATGACCTCAATCCCTGAGCCTCAAATTCCTCATCTGTGAAGAGATGAACAGAACTAGGCATTTGGAAATTTATCCCAGTAATACTGTGTGTAGAACGAATTAGGGGCAGCCATTGTGCAAGAAGGAAGACCCATTAGGAGAGTATTAACAATAGCACAGCTTTGAAGCAATGGGAGCCTCTGAAGCAGGGCTGTGCTGGTGGGAAGGGGAAGGAGGTGATGGGTGGGGAGACTTCCAGGGCAAATGGCACTGGGATATGCACCCTGGGACGTAGACTGCTATTCAGAAAGTCAGATTCTTTTCTGTGGCTCTTTTCTCAAGTAGTGGCATGACCTCTACTGAGCTATCTAACCACTGTGGATTCCAAGTTTTCCCATCTATAAAATAAAGAGATTAGAAAATCTCTCAGTATTCTTACAGCACTAAAATACTTCATGCCTATTTGAATCAATAAAACTTGTTAAGCTGATTAAACGAGAAAGCAAAGGCATAAGGGAGGTAGGGAAATTGAAGATAACATGAAGCAAAAAGCTTTAAACGTTAGTGTGTCAGTAGGTGATGTCATTACTAGGAATATGGAAGAGAGGAAAATAAACAGGTTTGGGGGAAAATATGATGAATGTCATTTCTAAGCGTTTGAAGGCCTGTCTTTCAAACAATTAGATGTGCTGCTTTATGAGTATTCAACAAATTGATTACTTAAATTATCTCCTATACCATGTAAACATCAGATATGAAAGCAAATATTTTTTCTTTAATTTACAGATTCTTTTCATTGGAGATTCAACCAACAGAGGAATAATGTACTATCTGATTGAAAGACTGAATGAAACCTTGCAGGAATGGCAGAAAGTGCATGGCACTAAATTCTACCACAACGTCAATAGTGGGAAGACTTTGATCGGTTATTCCTACTATCCCCAGTTCTGGATAAGCCCTTCATTGAGACCAACGTTTGAAAAAGCACTTGAACACCTCTTGCAAAGGTACAATGAAACTATTATGAGCAGCACAATGCCACAATGTACTGATGTTTTACTAGAGGTCACAATTGCTCACTGTATATCAAATGTGCTGAAAAGCTGAAATACCAAGTAATATGGCTGAAAACGAGTTGGAAATGACAAGGAGGTCCTGTGATCAGGATGCCAGATATGGTTCAATGAAATGTGAGGCAACGCTGTTAAAAAGTTTACCATCTGTTTCAAGGCAACATGTACTATTTTTCTTTCTGGATTTCAGATCACGTCCCTTGGAGAATACCAGACAGACTGTATTGGTCGTTGGTGGTGTTCAGTGGCTTAATTCCAATCACCTGCAAATTATTCACAAGGTTTTAAAAAGGTAAATTTCTGCAAAAAAAGTTGTCAGCATTCTAAGTAAAAACAAAAACGTACTCTTGACATGACTGAATTTTATCAAGATTTTATTTAAAGAGCAATTTGTAATTTAGAACTAAGCACTTAAAGTCTAGTTTAAAATATCTCAAAATACTTTTGTATCTAATCATAAGATGGCTCTTCAGTATCTAAATTTACATTTACTATAGATCAAAAACACCCACCAACACATAAAACTCTATCCACAAAAAAACTCTAATATACATCAAATCTATAAAATGAGTATTTAGTCCTATATGCCAATTATCATATTCTAAAAGAATTACACTGTATTTGCTTATGTAAACACAAATATCTAGAAATGTAACTGAAGTTCGTGACTTTAGAATTCCGATTATTTCACAGGGAAAATTTACTCAATATCCTTGTGATCATCAAAACCTTGGGAATTGGGTTTCATCTGCCAGTGCATGGAGTGCATTTCCTAACACAGGTAAGCCCATTTCCTCCAGGCTGTGTGAATTTCATGCTTCCTATAAAGATCTCTGCTGGTGTCTGAAAAGGGACCCAAAAGACACTACATAATATTCAGCAAGCTTCATAAAAAATCAAAGGAGATAATAGACTTAATGATTATGATTTCAAATCAGTTATAGTTATTCCTGGAGATAAGGAGATCATAGGCCATAAATATGTTGAAAATAATGTTTTGAGTTCATGAAAGGAGAAAGGGGGTGCCAAACTATGAAAAAATAAAGAACTGAGGGGTAGATGAGAGAGATTATGCTTTAAATATCCCCTTACCCCACTGAGGTTTCATACACCTTTAAAGGCTCATGCTGAAACCACAAATGAAATTGTCAGCATCAATGAGTACTTTGGGAAATAGTGGCTTTTTTGAAGATGATTCCTGACTGATTGCTTTAAGAAATTGTCTTTGAAGTCATATCATTAGTTTTTCCTCTGGTTGGATATTCATAAATGAAAGGAGTTAGAGGCTCTGACCAGTTCTTATAGAAGGTAGTAAATTAGTCTCAACGCTGAATAGAAGTCTCAGAAAAGAAAAGAAAGACAACAACTGTAGGTAGGACAACAGCTGCTCTTGTTCAAGCAAGGAGAGTGTGCGGGCAGCCAGGTTTGTGTGCAATACCTCAGGAGAGCTTGGGGAGACAGGAAGTTGTCCATTTAAAATGTAAGCTGAGTGAGATTTATTTTTGTGGCAATGTTGAGCTCTCTTAGCTTTTTCCAACACAGATTACACGACTGCCCTCTCCTTTCTTGAAATTTTGCCTACCTGGATTTGTGATGCAAAAGCAAGAAAGCTGGTAGAAAGTGGCCCAAGTAAAGCCTCCAAATTGAGCCTCTTGGAGTCAGGAAGGGTTAAGGTCATGTAAAATGAGTGGAGGTATTTAGCATCTGGGGTAGCTGAAGGGTTTGAGACTGTCGGGGATTAGAAGAGGGGTCCTCTGATAATTTTTGCTATGGGTTATGAGTTGAATCTCCTTTAATGTTATTTGAAGGCTACAGCTCAAGATTGCAATTCCTTCTGGAGGACTCTGGTGGCTCCACATTGCCTCTTTGATTGAGCTCCCTGCAGGAACTGGAGTACTTGTGGCCCCTACTTATATTTGGGTTACTAACTCAGAACCAATTCATCTCAGCAGACAGCAAACATTTCTTCAGCACTTACTATGTGCCAGACACTGTGTTAAACATTATGCCTACCACCAGTGCTTGGATGGTGCTCATCAGTCTTTTCAAACTGAGTGAAGACAAAAGGTGGAAAGAAGAGGAGGGGAAACGATAGAAAAAGAGAGGAATAATAGCAAGTGGAGGTGGAAAATAAATCTGAACTCCTCATCATGTGTTCACATAGCCATTGAAGACTTGGCCTCTGCCTTCCTCTGTAGACTTACCCCTTGCTACCAATGCATATGCACAAATGTACACACACACACTGTCACAACACCACTGAGCTCAGTGATGATAAGCATGTTTCAGCTTCTTAAGCACACCATGCTCTCAGTTACCTCCAGGCCTTTGAAATCACTGTTCCCTCTTGGAGTGCACTCTCCCACCACCTCCTCCCCTGAGTAACTTCCCATAACCCTTCAAGTGTTACTTTAAATGCTGTTTCCTCTGGGAAGACTTAATTGACACAACCTGATTGGCTACTCCTGTCATGAGCTCCTATAATAGTGTCTTGTGTCCTCATTCATGTTACTCAACAGACAATCCTTGGTCATCTGTCTTCCCTGCTAGGCTCAATCTCTGTGAGAGCTAGGAGCGGCGAGGGAGGGCTGCATTGCTCACTCTGGTACCCAAATGGAAAACACAATGCTCAGCACATAGCAGACTCTCAAAAAATATCTTATGCATGAATGACTGAGTGATATTTTGTATGATTTGGCTGCTCCCAGATCGCCTCTTTAGGACTGAGACAGTCATACCCCCGGGCTGCTGGGAGTGTGGCCAATTGATGACTCACACCTGAATCCCAGCAGAAATTGCATTTTGCTGCAAAGACCCAACTTGCCTGTGCAGAAGCACCAAGACTCAGCCCCCTTCTCTTAATTTGGGCCATCTAGGAAGGACCATCCCAGCTCTAGAACTCCCGGTGGGATCCAGGAAAGCCTCTGTTGCAACTACATCGCTCCTTTACAGGGGTTGATCCCAAGAACACTCTCCTGTCAGCCTCTTGCAAGCAAATTTCCATCTCAGAGTCTATTTCCCAAAGGAACAGACCTTTCTCTAGAAAATCTTCTCTAGAAACCGCTTACTATAAAGCTCCATGTACCTTTCATAGTTAGACATATTAAAGTTGAGAAAATACATGTAACTAGATAAGAAAAAGCCTACAAACAGTATTGAGCATCATTTTTCATGTGATGGCACAGACCAAATTTGCATCTGTCTCTTTCCCTCCATAAAGAAGAAAAGGCTCTTCTTCATGAGCCTTTTCTATTCACTACCTTTATTTTGGGGGAAACACTCTTTGATTGTCACATAAAAATAGGTATGCAAGCACAGTGGACTGCTTCTTTTATACTGCTTCTTTTTCCTTGCAGTTGGATTAACAAATGCAAGCAATTTCCTTTTGTACCTGAAAAATGGAAATCATTTTTGTCCTTTAGGAAAGGCAAAGGGAGTACAATTCTCTCCCTGTGTCAGTTTGGGTTTTCCAAGAAACAGACACTAAGACAGGGTTAGCAGAATCAAGGGATCTATTGGGGAGAATGCCTGGAAAGTAAAAAGGGAAGGGTGCAGGAGTAGGCAGGAAGAGTTTCAGACCACAGTACCCAATGCATAGTACTCAATCTTGCACCAAATATTTTTTGAGTATCTACTAGGTATTGGGAACTGTGTTTCTCTCTAATGTGTCTAATATGAAGGGAGTGGAAGAAGGATGGATTAGGTAGAAAGAGTCTCAGACTACAGGTCAGTCTGAGGAAGTCTGGGCCAAGCCGATGAGGAATCCTGGAACTAGAGTAGTCAGTGGAGGAGTCTCTCCTCTCGACAGTGGACCTGAACTAGAACTCCCAGCCAGCACGATCATTGTCTGGGATGTGGTTGGGGAGGGAAGAATATGATGCAGAGAAGCAGCAGCTGGAGCCTTCACTCAATTCTGTAGCTCCCTAAAGCACACACCTCTTCTCTGTGTCCCCACCCCCATGCAACTGGCAAACCTCACTCTGCTCAGGTACCCCATCTTGAGGCCTCACTGTCCAGCTGTCTCCTTGCCCCTGCAGAGCTATTTGCTTTTCTCGACTAGCCCAGAGCCTGGTATATTTACCTCCAATAAAGGGCTTAGTACATGTTTACACATCTGTTTCTCCTATTAGAATGCAATGTCTTAAGAATAGGGACCACAATTTATTTATCCTTGTATTCCTGTCCCTCAGCACAGAGCTAAGCACAAAACAGATACTAGTTAAATTCAAACAATTAAATGAATAAGAATCTAAATAGATAGAGATAGCATTTGTGATTTTCAAGTCTTGGCTTTTAAATTGAAATTTTTAGATATTTCAATGGATCTTTGTGGGCAATAAACCTAACTACTTTTCATAAGAAGGGAATGTTCCAAACTGTGTGTCATTATAGATATTAATGTATTGTTATTTTATTTATACATAAATGTTTATATTTATATTGGATAAAAAAATTAGAACACATCTTTATTTAAGAAATGCACGTGAAATTAATTTTTTATCTCATAATAGGACCAATTTGTAAAAAAGATGACATTTACCTCATTTCCACTTGAGTTATGAAATTATAAAACAATCCTCTTAATAAAAATTCTCATTCTGCTGCCTTGCAATGCAGGGTGAAGTTCAGAACTTATGGAAAGAAAATTTGATTATTCTGGATGCTGCAAAAAAATATGGCTATGAAGTGGTTGACACATTCACTATAACAATGGGGCGATACAAAGAGTTTCTGCAGGGGACATGTGGATGCCATTTTCATGAGGTATTTATGCTGGCTCTCTGATTTTTGTTGCTTTTTTTTTTTAATTTATTTAATTTTTTTAATTTTTTTTTTAAATTTCTCATTGTATCTTTAATTGCATTGTCAGTCTTATTTTGCATTAAAAAACCATGTCAGGAGGAAATTAAATGACACATTCATCATCACTAAGCCAAAGCATGTAGCAGTCATAACTCAAGGCTCCACAAAATGAGGTGTCAAAAAAATTAGTGTTTATGTAGATACTTGAAAACTAGGATCACTGGTCAATACAAGCAGGAAGATAGGAACCTGGCAAGCGCTTGCCTTGTCTAATAGGCTTGATCCTTCCCGTGAGAAATTGTGTCCAAAGAAGGTGGAAAATGTCTTTAGTAGAGGCAGCTTGCAAATTAAGATGATTTAATGTGCTAAACTAATGAATCACCTTCCTCCATTCGTTTATCCAATGCATCAACAGGAGGGCCTATGTTCTGAGTAGTTTTTCCTCCCGGTGATGAAAATGATTTTATTTGTCGCCAGTATTTAAATAGGCTGATAAGGTGATAGCAGAAAATAATTTTATCGTTTTACCCCCTGTCCTTTCAAACTCTGTGGATTATTTCTTCCTTTCCACTTGAATAAAATCTTGGTAGGTCCCATAACTTTAAAACCACTTTCAGGTAATAAAAGGACTCCGATCACTTTCAGGCATAAGAAGATTATATCTTCAATACTAAAATCGCCCAGCCCTATATTATAACCACATGAAGTTATTTCCTTCCCCCAGCTCAGGCCTGCCTCAGTCTCAAAAGTAGGAAAGAGAGTGCAGGAGGCTTCTTTCCTAGTTCCCCATCTGGCTTTGCTACTTTTCTTCTCCTACCCCTTTCTTCACGGTCAGGTTAGGGGAGATGTTAAGGGCAACAAAAGTCTTACTTGACTGGCATAAGCATCATAAGCATAACCCATCGATGTGCTTTCTGGGGATGCCAATTCTTTCTTTTTAAGGACCTTTTGTGGACTTCCTTGAAGACATCCCTCACTGGGGCCCTCTAACTGTAGCTTCCCTGATAGAGGCAATACCTCTCTTGTAGCTGCATTCCTTCCTGGGCCCCTTGGCTTCCAATTGTCCATCCTTCTGTCAGGGGTCACATTGCCCCTCTAGGCATCCTCTCGTAAATATTCAAAATAGCACTAGGCTTGCTATACTCAGTTGCCCACATTTGGCCCACAAGAAACACTCATGTATCCTTGCTCTGCTACGGCTAGAAATACAGTTAGCTCCCAGTGCAGCCCTCTCTTTTCCTCTCTCTTTCTCTCTCCCTCTTGCTCTCTCTGCCACCTTAAAGCTGATCTATAGCCACAGTGTCTCATACCAGTTCTAATGCTCCCCAAACCCCAAAAGACATGTGTCCACCTCTCAAAGTTGGTCTGTTGAAGCTCTCTCTCACTTGGCTTAAAGCAGAGGTGAAGCAACTCCCCAAGAGGGGGGAAGACCACAAAGCATTTGGGAAACTTCTCACATCGAAATTCTCTCTCTTCCTTCCCAACTCTCTTAATAAGACAAGGGTTTGCAAAACTGGATTTTGTCCACATTTTTGCAAGTTTTGCATACATTGTCCAGACATTGCTTTGGAATATGAGGTTACTTGGCTACTGTTGTTTGCTCTGGATCTCAGGAGCCTCAGCTGAAACCGTGATAGAGTTGTTGATCATCAAAACGACCATTTGATCATCCTGTCAGATATTGATTCACTCGTTCTTTCTCACATGGCTCCCTTTATAAACCAGGATGCAGTCATTAGAGGGTTGACTAGTGAAATGACGACTAAAGGTTTCTTATGATCCTGTTTTTCAGCCATAAGATGACAGTCAGAATCCATCTTGGTCCTCAGATTTTTATGAATACTCAAAAGTTATTGACACTGCATTAGTTCTTCTGTATGTTCTAGTAATAGATTGGTGTTATATTTTCATGTGACAAATGAAATTGCATCTCAGAGAAGTGAAAGCCTGCACCCACAGTAGAGAGCATGGCATTTTAACTTTTGATCTAGCAACTTGAAGCTTGGCCATGTTGTTGCAGAACAGATTTTAAGCTGTAGGATACTGTGTGTCTGTATATTTTCTCCCACCAGAAAATATAACACCCTTCCAGTGCCTATCCTATTTGCAAAAGGTTGAGACTTAGAAACACAAGAGCAGGTAGCCGGGAAGAGGAAGAAACAATGAAATTGCAGCTGAGCCAGCTCATTATCATAGTTGACCACAAAAACATGCCAAAGGTTGCCAAACCCACAGAAAATGGGGACTCTGAAAGACAATATACAAACTGTTTTTTTGCCTCTTTTAGAAAAGGTTTATTTATTTATTTATTTTTACATAATGTGTCTTCAATTAGTATTTTGGGGGAGGGTATCTGTTTCTCTTTTTCAGCTTTAGTGCTCTGGAAGTCTAAAAAGAAGTTCTCCAATGATTTCCAGCATGGCTCCAATTAAAAACAGAAGATGTCCTTCCCACATGATTGCATTACATATATCTCCTGCCATAGCATCAACCAGTTGACACTAATAGTCATTGAATTTGAGAACTACAGAAAAGACTCTTTGAACCATTAGAACTAGAATATTGGCTTATAATTATTACTAACAAAAACCAACCTTAATTTGCATAATAATGATTTAAGTATGTCAGGTAAAATTATTTCACTTATTTGAGTTTATAATTGTGTGCAATTATCATGGATAAATTGTTTTTTCTTAAACTTTATTACTAATGTGTGCTGTCTTGATAGCAAGCTATATAGGTATCCCCAAATTATCTCAGTTGATTCTGGAGCAGTGTTGTCCATTTTGAAGATTTCATGTTTGAGCTGAAATACTTCTGGGAGCATTTGCCTTTCCAGGTGCAACGTAGAGCTAAGCTCATCTTTCTCAACTGACTCCCTTCATCACAAAGTCTCTCAAAGCCATTCATCACTTAGGCATAACTGTTGCTTAATCTTGAACAGTTTGTACCACTTGTACCTCAGGAAGTTTCTGGTGCTGACACTGATATTTTATAATCTTTCTAAACCATTACCCAACATCTTAAATCACTTTTAACTTATTATAAACAATTAAGAAAATCTAAAGCTTTTTGCAAAGGATGGTTTGGTGATGAAGAGAGCAAGACAGGAAAACATAGATTATCGGTCTCATGCAAAACATATTCTAGGGCAGAAATTCATTAATAATAACTACTTCTTCCTCTGTGCACATCTTATGAGCTGGCAAAGGAAATTGTCACACAGTAATAGCAATAATTAAAATCAGCTATATTAGAGCCATAAGAATTTAGATTTGGGAGACGTGTATCTTCTGTTGTTCAATTAAACCATTCCCACAATAGATTCGCAGATACCTGAGAAGGAATGGTATAATAGTTACAGTAAGATCTTGATGTGTCCTCTTTGATTTGTGGTGAGAATTTTATCACAGACATAACAAGCCTGCTCCAGTGGGCTCTTGTCGCCATAGGTGAGATTAAAGGTTGTGGGTCATCTCTTTCACCTGTCAAGGCACCAAGAGGGAATATGTTGCCATCATGACTCTATAAACAATTTCCCAACCGTTGTCCATCAGTTTTGACTAAAATGTTTCTGCTGATTAGAAAAACAGGTGATTCTTTTCATGGGTAGAAATGGAATTTTGTTTTCCCAGTGTTTATGCAGGACAACAAACAGGATCCAGGTAGCTCTTGCCCAAGGGTGGTTTTGGCTGGTGCCTTTAGTTATGAGGCAAACATCTACTGGGAAGAAGCTAAAACCTGGAAGGGATGCAAAAATATTATCAGCCCAAACCTAGCAGCAGAAGGGGCAAATCCACAACCAATTGTTACATGATTATTAATCAGTCTAATCGGTTGTACAGATCTTAGATGATATCTCTGGTTTCTGGCAGGTGTAGCTACAGCTTTTGACTCAGTCAAAAAAAATAAAAGAACCCTCTGGCATCACCACCCAGCTCTAATACCAGCAGGTTTCCTTTGATTTTGGCACCGTGGAAAGAAAAAGAGATTTTCAGTTCTTTGTCAGAGATGATTTCCCATTATTATTTAATCTTCATCATATACTCTGTACTATTTAATCTTAATTAAATGAACAAAAGCTTATCTGGCCTAGAAATGTTTTCCTTCTATACCACGGGCCTAAAGTTTTTCTCTTTGTTCTTCAAACTTTAAAAGTTTATCATAAACTCAATGAAGAAAAAAGCGTTTAAACTTATCTATCTAAAAAAACTGAAGTAATGACTTTTAGAGAAGAAAGAACTGATCCAAATATAGTTAGATCCCAGAATTTAACTATCAACATGGCTATTTTTAATAATGGCAATTATTATTTTTAGTAATGGCAATTTAATTCAATAAAATTTTTGAGTTTCTATATAAGCATTGCACTAACTGCTATAAAATGAGCTAGGAGAACATTTTGTAGTTTTGTCATGAGCATCTCAAACTCAACATTTTCCCAAAGAAAGAATTAATATTCCCTTTAAACTTTTTTCTTCTCTAGTATTCCTGAATTTATTGCACTGTCATTTACAAACGAATTTATTGCACTGTCATTTACAAACTAGGGTCATCCTCGATTCCTTCTTATCTTTCTCCAGCCCCCTTAACAACCTCCACCCAGCCAGTTACCAAGTCCTGTTCACCTTCTAAATAGTCTCTCAAGTCTTTACCTTATACTCTGTTCCAGTTGCCTCAGCCTTGTTTATTCTTTTACTTAGTCATCCAACATTTGTTTTGTGAATGTAGTTCTAGAGCTAAACAGTAGTGATGCAAAAATAAGTAAGATATACTCTCTGCCCTCAAGACATTGTAGTTAGAGGGTCAGGCATAAAAACCCATACTATGGAACAATATGTTAAGTGGCATGTTAGAGATATAAATAGGATATTGTAATAACACCAAGAAGGGGCTCCTAACGCAATCTGAGGTTTGAGGGAGCCTCTCCTTAAAAACTGTTCAAGTTGATTGTTAAAAGA